AACATTGAACCGTATTAAAGGGTCACAGCACTAGGAAGGTTGAGAATGCACTAGAACTTGAAAAATACAAGTGTGTGGACCCTGCCCTAGGTGGAGGAAATCAGAAGCTGTAGGTAGAGCCTTGCCAACACATTCCTTTGTTTTTGAGTAGTAGTATGTGTACATCTTTATGGAATGTGATGCATTACACAGTATATAATAAAGGATAATAAAACATTTCCATATCTAAGTATTAATCATGTTATGTGCTGGGAATTTTACTCTTCTGGTCATTTTGAAGTGCAGCATATATTGTTTTAACCAGTAGTTGCCTGCTGTGCTAAAGAAAAAAAAACACAACAATATTTTGCCACTCTGTTTTTGTGCTACATCCTCTGCTCTTTTCAGTCTCCAGCTATCAGATTCCATTGTTCTTCCCCAGTACCAACTTAGTAGCTTCCACAAATGAATGATAACGTATTTGTCTTTCTCTCTGGCTTTTTCACTCAACGTAATGATTCCCATTTCTATTCACGAGGCTGCAAATGTTTTTTAGTATTCCATTCTTTTTATGACTGCATTGTATTCTAGTGTGTAAAGATACCACAGTATCATTATCTCTTAAGTCACTGAAAGGCGTTGGGACTGATTGTATATTTGCAAATAACATAAGAAACATAGGAATATAAGAATCTTCTGGTATAATGACCTTAGCTTTGAATGTATTAAACAAGTAGGGTACTTGTATATGACCATTTGATAATCTTCCTTTTTGGCATTTAATGGCTATGTATTTTGGATATTGTCTATATCAATGGATATTGATATTGGCTCTATCAATGGATATTGATCCATTGTTGGATGAAAAATTTGCACAAGTTTTCCCACTCTGTAGACTCTTTTTTTACTGTGTGAGACTTCATCATTCCATTTGAATGTTTTCATTTTCTGTGCCTTTAGGTCTCGTCATTAAAACCAAGTCATCACCTACATCACAGCAGTGTACAGAAGCCTTCCTGCTGCTCCCTGGCACTGAGTTTATAATTTCATGTTTTATGTGCAGGCCTTTGATCTGCTGTTGTGATGTCATTCTGTTGCCCATGTATATCTTGTTTTTCCAGCACTGTTTATTTAGAAGACTGAGTTTCCTTTGTCTACCATTAGTGCATTTTTTTCTATCTTAGGATCTAATCAGTTGGCAGTAATGATATGAATTAACCTCTGGAATTTTGTTTCTGTTGCATTTGTCTGTATGTCTGCTTTTATGCCACTATCATTATGGTTAGATTACAGTAGCTTTGTAGTCTACATATGTTTGTAGTCTACATTGTTTGCTGGTTTGTGTTGCGAATAGAGCCTAATGTCACTTAAGCAGACCTCAAATTGCTCTTTCACCAATATATCATAGTTTTCGTTGCAGAAATATCTCACTTCCTTCGTTAAATTTACTCTAAATACTTCATTTTTGTGGCTTTTATGAATGGATTGAAATCTTCATTTCCTTTTTGGATGGCCTATGTTTAAAATCCCAGAGCACATCAAGATGAGGTGAGAGAATGCAAGCTTGAGGCCAAACATGATTATACCCTGAGCTCAAGGGCAGCCAAGGCTGCATAGAGAAAGCCCAATTTTTGTATGCTTAATTCATATTCTTCAGATTTACTAAATTTATGTATCCATTCTAGCAACTCTTTTGATGGGGAATTTGGATTTTCTATATATAAATCATGTCATATGCAAATATGGATAATTTAACATCTTCTTTTCCAGTTTAGATATTCTAGTTTCTCTTTTCTGGTACTCATGCTAAGAATTCCCAGTACTGTCTCTGCCATGAACTTAGTGGCTAGCTCTTTGATAACCTCCCTCAGAGGCGGAAGCAGCCTTGCCAGGTCACAGAGAAAGACAATGAAGCCAGTCCTGATCAGACTTGATAGGCTAGCGTCAGATGGAAGGGGAGGAGGAGCTTCCCTATCAGTGGACTTGGAGAGGGGCATGGGAGGAGATGAGGGAACAGGAAGGGTGGGATTGGGAGGGAATGAGGGAGGGGGCTAGGCTGGGATACAAAGTGAATAAACTGTAATTGATATAAAAAATTAAAATTTTGTAAAAAATTAAAAAAAAAGAATTTCTAGTACTATATTGAATAAGAATGGTGAAATCAGGTACCTATTTGGTTTGCAACTGTAGAGGAAAGCTTTGCAGTTTCCTTGTTTAGTGTCGTATTGGCTGTGGGTTTTCCACACATAGCCTTTAGTATTTAGAGGATTTCCTTCTATATATGACTTGGTAAAAGTGTTTTGCCATGAAAAAAACTTTAATCTTACTGCATACCCTTTGTCTCTAGAGATGAAAATATGCTGCAGTACTGTATTTTGGTGACGTGTTACATGTTTATTGGTTTGTGTATGTTGAACCATCTTTGAATCCCACTTTATCATGGAATGTGATCTTTTCCATGAACCAATACATTTAGGTCATTGGTATTTTATTGAGAATTTTGCAGCTATGTTTATCCAAAATATGGGTCCATATTTTTCCTGATTTTTGTATCAAGGTAATGGGAAAAGCTGGATCTATAAAAGTCTTTGGCAGAGCTCCTTCCATTTCAAATTTTTGAATAGTTTTAAAAGAATTAATTCTTCTTTAAATGAACTGTTGACAGTAGTCAATTCATTAGGTATTACTCTACTTTTTTATTTTGTATTTTGTATTTTTGTTTCTCTGTGCAGCTCAGGCTGTCCTTGAAAGCAATATGAATCCTAGTTGGCCTCAAACCTGAGTCCCCCTGCCACTTTCTCCTGTGTCCTAGAGTTCTAAACAAACCATGTCTGCTTCTATTTATTATTGACTCGGTTTTGATAGTTTGTGTGTGCGCTTATGGATTTATCTATTTCTTCTAGGCTTCTAGTTATTTCAATATGTAATTTGTCGTGATAGTTTCTATGACACTTTGTGTTTCTGTGCTGTCTATTGAATTATTATGTTTTTCATCTTTGGTTTTGTTTATCTGAGATCTCTCTCGATCTCTCTGCCCCCAGTGTGTGTGTATGTGTGTATGTGTGTGTTGGTCTGTTTTGTTGTTGCTCTTCTGAGTCCTTAGCTTGTTTTATTTTCTGATGTATGGAGATATTACTATGCATGTCTCTCTAAGAACTGCTTTTGTTATTTTATACAGATTTCAGGAGGTTGTTTTCACTTACTGCCAGAAAATTTTTATTTTCCTTTTAATTTCTCCAGTTACCCACTAGTTTATGTTGCACAATGTACACTATTTTTTATGCTTTCAATTCTTTTTTTTTTGCTATTGATTTGTAGTTTTTATACCATGTACTTTGAGAATATGTGTGATATTATTTCAGTTCTAAAAACATTATCAAGACTTGTTTTAGGGTGTAACTACTCTTACGAGTTATTCTAGAGAATGTTCCATGTGCTGGTGAGAAGCATGTGTTCTAATCTGTTGGATGAAGGGTAAATGTCTGTAAGGTCCATTTGCTCTGTGTAAAATCCTCAGCCAGTACCTAGAAGGTGTAGAATATTCTTACTGTGTATTGACTAATCTTATTATTCTAATCAAGTTAACACTTGCTTTTCCTAATGGAGGGAATGTTTTTATAGCTACTCATTTTTACCCATGTAACCTTGGACCTGCTTTGTCATAATTGACTTGTGAACATAATGCTAACTTGTTTTCCCATACAATACAGTCATTGCAATGCTGGTGTTTCAAACTATAGCACATGTCTAATATATATAAAATTTTTAGGGTTTTTCAATTTTCCACCGAGCCTTGAAATTGGATCTTGTGGAAGATGGTTACTGGCTGACTGAGTTATGTCTACATTAAATGGAGGCTTTACATGAATTGTAGATGTGCTGTCCTGTCTGATATACCCATAGAGGTCAGTGATAGAAGAACCCGAGGGTAGAAATGCAAACTGAGTCATGGCAGCTAGAATGACAGTGTGTCAGGGCACAGGTTTTAAATTCTAAATACCTGAAGTAAAATGTTGCAGTATGGTTGCAAACCTAAAATATGTAAACACTAATTTATATTTGTGGTATTTAATGTTAGCAAGGTACCTTGTATTTTGAAGTTTGGGAGTCGGACATCTTCAGAGAGTTTGAGACAGTGCTTTGGTACATGTGTCATACATTTGAAAGGAAAGGGAGTTGGTCTTCCTTTTTACCATCCCTCCTGTCTTCCTTTGTATTACTTCTCTCTTGTCCCCTTCCTCCCTCCCTCCCTCTCTCCTTACTAGTTCAGAAGAAGCAGTAAGCACCTGGCGTTCCATGGGTTTTTCAAATGAATGTGATCATTGTGTTAGCTGTCACTAGATGGCGCTCATGAGCACAACTTTTGTTTAATCCATCTCTCAGAAGACACTTAGAGGCTGGTTTTGAATGACAGGCTTATTAGCTTTGCCTTTAAAAAGTCATAGTTCTAAAACTGCAAATTTTTTTCTCACAATCTTGGCCCATGGTGTTTTGTTTGTGTTTGTTGGCAAACATCCTTTAAAAGAATTGTGTAGTATCAGTTCTAAATCTTTATAGTACTAAGAATATTCTAAATTTACTTTGTAAAATTTAGCTGGAGTCTTCTGTCCAGGGCTGCAGTATTTAGCAGCTCTTCCTTTGAGCCCATTCCAGGAAGAACAGGGGCCACTTTACAGTTTACACTTTACACCTGCTGTTTTCAGTGTCATACAATGTGCACTTATATTTCCAACATTTTATGGGGTGTGAGGTATTATAGAGGCCAAGGTGGGATTTTCTTTATTGTACTTATTAAAGATAAAGAGCTAGAAACTAGTAAGAGGTGATAATGTTGGGGGTGGCTTCCATCCAAACTTCCTTTGCTGTAAGGTTTGGGTAGTAATGGATAGGCAGTGGGAAGATGGCAGAGGAATGCTTTCCAGGCCCTACAAGGAACACAGTTAATTCATAGTGTGAGCCAGGCATATGTGGGCAAGAGCTAATCTAACTTTCATTCGTTTGTTTTTGTGTTTCTGCCACAGCACGTGCCCTTATAGTCGGCCTCCTTTTGGCTATGGAAATTTTCCGAGTTCAATGCCAGAATGTCTTGGTTATTATGAAGACAGGTACCAAAAGCATGAAGCTATATTTTCAGCTTTAAACAGAGACTATCCTTTCAGAGACTACCCAGATGAGCACACACATAGCGAAGATTCTCGGAGCTGTGAGAGCATGGATGGACCCCCTTACTACAACAGCCATGGCCACAGTGGGGAAGAGTACTTGAACCCCATGCCTCCATTGGACATTGGAGCCTTGGAAAATGTCTTCACAGCCCCAGCATCAGCTCCCTCTGGCGTCCAGCAAGTCAATGTCACGGACAGTGACGAGGAGGAAGAAGAAAAAGTGCTCAGGAATTTATAATTTAAAACACATATGCACAGAAAATAAACATTTCTTAAAATATATTCTGGGTCAGTTGGTGTGAGAAAAAAAAAAAAAAGCCTAGAATGCTTTGCTGAGAGTTTTCAGCTGTGATTTGAGGAGTCAGACCCGAAAGCCATTCATGTCTTCCCAAGTTCTCATTAGTGAGACCCTGGACTCGTGATGCCTCAGCATAGGGATCTTAAAATCTAAAGTAGTTACTTTCATGGCTGAATTTTGCACCAACATGTGATAACATTACTTTATCTTGGAACATGTGAAATACAGAGAGCTCCCAGTGGCATGTGAGGACACACATGTGAGTATGTATCTGGCATGGCAAGTGTGGTTAGCATTTTATCTCAGGGTACATAACTTTATTTTTCTGAAAAAAAATTGGTGTTTATATATTTATGGATGTTGTCAGTTTTTGTGTAACATTTTGAAAATATTTTGATAACTTGTAGAAATGGACTACAACTCAGTTGCTAAATTTATTTACACTAATAACCAATTATAAGTTGAAAATGTATTTTTATGACACCTGGGCAGTTCCTTCAAATATAGTCATTTCTGTTACTGAACATTTTATCATCATTTTAACTATCTTTCCCATTTGGTATGCATTGTTATATTTTTGTTGTAACTAAATAAACAGATGAAAACGCTCTTGTTAAATGTTTTCTGTTGAGAGGAGGGAGATGAGCACAGTGAGTGCTGGCCAGCTGTGGTTAGCTTTTATGCCACATGCAGGCATTTCTGTTTAACACCAGCAGAGTGGCCCAGAATCCTGTTAGTTTGTGTACTAATCATATGTGTCACTGCTGAGACAAAATGCCTGAGACAAGCTGCTTGAGGAAGGCAGAGCTTATTTTGCCTTCTGGTTGGATGGTACAGTCCATCATGGGGGAATGCATGGCGATAGGAACATGAGGTCACATTCCATCTGTGCTCAGGGAGCAGCAGACGGTACTGGTGTTAAGCTTGCTTCCTCGTTATCAGAGACCCCAGCCCATGGGATGATGCCTTCCACATCACATGAGCTGATGGCGCATCATCACATCTCAGTTTACCTGATCTAGAACTTCCTCAGACATGCCAAGAAATTTGTCTCCTAGGTGATTGTAGATCCTGTCAGGTCATCAGTGGAAAACATTAGTTTGTATGAGATTTGAAATTTTACCGTCTCGTTGTCTTGTTTGTTCTTATATTAAGTTGCACTTTGTGGAATTTGTTATTCAAATTGTCTCCTCCTCAGAGTGTATTGTAATGTCAGTAGACTTCAAATGTCACTCAAAGTGTTCCGTACTCTAGACATAACTGCCCCAAGCATTTGCAAATTAAAAACCAGTTTTACTGCAAGGAGATGGGAAATGGCGCCTTAGTGAGAAGCTGAGTTAGAAGAGAACGATGTTTCTGTGCTTAATGAGACTGAATTTGGTCAAGCAGCTTTGGAAGCTGGTGTTGCACCCCACTTAGAAGGGAACACTGTTCTTTATCATTACAATATCACAAAAGTGTAGTGTCTCAGGGTTTCATACTTGGCCTTCTTGAGACTCTTTTGATTTTAACAGTACCTACTGACATCACCCAGTACCCACTGTAAAAAATGCTGGCAAATGACAGCTCGTGGCTTTGGTGTGTGAACTTCACACATGGTTTTCCTATGCTAAACAAAAGCAGGGTCTAAATAAACTTTAAAAAAAAAATTGTGTCTAACAGTCTTAAAAGAGTAAAGAATTGAAACTTGTAGTTGCCGTAATCCATCTCTGGCTATTAAACAGGCTTTTTAATGAATGATGACAGTGTATTGAAGTATTTATAAAGGCAAATGTGCTTTTTACTGTCAACCAGCTGTCGGGAGAGTTCTGCCTGGGCTAAAAGAGCTACATTTTATGTGTTTAAGAAAAATATATTAGGGTAAATTCACCGTAGAAAATGAAGGGTTTCTTAAGTATGTTTTTTATGTCCTTTCAGCATATTCACACTGCACTACCCTTTTCTCTCTCTTCCCTCTAATCTTCTTTCTCTTCCCTGAAAGTATCCCCTCTATATTCATGCCCACTCCCCCCACCGTGTGTGTGTGTTTGTGTGTGTGTGAAAAATCTTATGTTCCACACACATTAGAAAACATGACATTTGTTTCTGTTTCTGAATCTGACTTATTTTGCTTAATACAGTATTTTCCCATTCATTTGCCTTCCTGCAGATGACATACTTTCATTTACCTTTACACCTGAATAGAACTTTATTCTGGGGCTATGGAGACAGCTCTGCCATCAGAAGGCTTACCTCATAGCCTAAAGATCTGAGTTCCTCCAGCCCTGGACCCATGTGATTGTGGATACCTGGTCAGAATCTGTACTGCACCACTTTGTGACTCAGGCAGCTGTAAACCCTGGCTCTGTCTCTAGATGCCTCTGAAAGCACAAAATGACCCCTGAACTATCCCAGGAACTGTAAAACCTCAGCTCCTCCCCCAGAGGTAAATAAAGAGTCCTCCATTCTTGTTTGAAGGAGAAGAAAGGGGGTAAAAGACTGCCTGTTCCTTCCTGGATGTGTGGAGCACGCTCACTGACGCTGCCCACTGGCAGGGTGCAGCAGATCAATTCCTAACACCCATATCTAGTGTGAGAGTCCATAATGCCAGTGAATCTAGACACACCCCTTGCTTGCAAAGTGTCTTCCTAAGAAAATAGGACCAAGCAAATGTCTCTAAGATGAGCAGAGTTGACCAACACAGGTACAGTATTGATCCCCAGTCTTGGGCAGGATGTATCCCTGCAAAAAAGTCAGTGCTCAAGTAGACCCTGGAAGTAGGTAAGGCTGCTGAAAGTCAATAAAGACAATGAAAGGGATGACTGATTAAATTAGAGCCTAAATCCTGGCACCCAGAGAGGAACCCTGGAGTCATCCCTTCCTAACAATCTGGCTTTATTCAGTTTATCAACCCTGGATGGAGCAAATGTCCTGTAATCCACCCAGTCCACTACAAACAGGCCTGGACAAGCCCAGCACTGTCCATCAGTCATCAGAGCATTTTGACAGTTCAGCCCTGGCCATCAGCCAAATGTAAATCAAGACCTCCAAGACATCGTGCGTTAGCCACTCGTGAGGTCAGTGTCCCGACTTTTGAAAACACAAAGAGCCATTTAAGTGGGAAAGTCCCACTAAATCCTGCTGAAGCACACAGCCCACATTTGGATCATCTTTCTGAAAAGATTTTGGAAGGCGCAGCTGTTGCCCAGAGCCCTGAATACAGTCTGCTATTCTATGCAGAAGCTCTGACAGATTAGCATAGTTAATTTGAGATCCAGTCAAGTCCTCCAGCTTGTCCCTTCCTCTAGATAGCCTCTAGAGCCCATAACTGACTTGCCAAAGAATCCATGTTTTCTTGCCAGTGGGTAAGGTTGGATATTGATTGAATTTAACGTGACTTTGGGAATAGTGTCAGCACTGCATAGACCTGGGATTATTGATGAAAGCTGATTGTGTGTCATGCTGGAAATCCCAATATTCTGGGGTTTTTTTTCTGGGAGGGGGTAGGGTGTGTTAAAAGTGCATACTTCTCTAAACCAACTCCCTAAAGTGTGGCTTTCAGAGAATTCCACGAAACTTGAGACACGGATCAAGGACAAAGGCAAGATCAGGTTTATGCCTCCAACAGCTGTAGCTTTCAAACTGTTTTAAGGTTGAAGAAGCTGAATTAACAGCTGTGGGTTTATCTCTTGGTCTTGGCATGAGAAACAATGAGCGTAAATACAGCTGAGACAATGCTATGGTGAATTTTCTCCTGTTAAAAAAAAAATTATTTTATGTGCATGAGTGTTTTACCTGCATTTATGTCTGGGTACTGTATGCATGTCTGGTGCCCGTAGAGGTCTGAAGAGGGTGTCAGATCCTCAGGAACTGGAGTTACAGATGGTTGTTGGCCATCATGTGAGTGCTGGGAACCAAACTCAAGTCTTCAGCAAGCGCAGCAAGTGCTGTTAACCACTGAGCCATCTTCAGCCCTCAATTAGTAAATTTTAAATTATGTCTTGGAATCTGTGGTACATAGTAAATTGGGCGATCTAGTGCGGTTTGCCAGAACTTAAATATAAACTTTGGTATCTCTGGCACCTATGACTTTCAAAGCAGAAGCTAACACTTTTGCTTAAAGACGCTACAGACACATAAGGCTGTAAGGAAACTTACAGTTTTCCCTTCTACCTACGAGAACTGCCAGGCTCTCCTATTTTGCTTCTCAGTCTTAGAGCCACAGAAGACATTACTGGCCGTTCCCAGTCCTCACCTTCTATGAGACATCCCTTCTGTCTACAGAGCAGGCCCTGATAGTTCCAGAGATGTGAAACTGCTCTCAGGATGAAAGTCATTTGCTATCTCTGACCTTGATTAACATGCATTTTGGGTAGGAGGAATTTGGCCTGTGTCCTACAGTCAATACAGTGTATTTGGGGGAAGCTATATCAAGGATGTAGAGTTCTTAGAAATGTCAAGTGAAAGCCAGGCAGTGGTGACACACACCTTTTATCCCAGCGCTCTATAAGCAGAGGCAGGTGGATCTCTGTGAGGGCAGTCAAGGGCCACACACACACACACACACACACACACAACCCTGTCTCAAAACAAATAAAATGTCTAGTGAGAACAAAGGAATTGTGGATTCACCTACCTTCATTTATTTTTGCTTTTGTACATATATATGCAATAGTCTCTATAGAAATAAAAACAAATGAAACAAAAAGTCCTCTCAAAAGTTGCACATTAAAGCTGGGCATGGTGGTTCATGCTTTAATCCCAGCACTCAGGGAAGTAGAGGCAAGTGGATCGATACCAGTTCAAGGCCAGCCTGGTGTACAAAACAAGTCTAGGACAGTCAAGGCTACAAAGAGAAACCCTATCTCAAAAAAAAAAAAAAAAAGTTTACTTCTAAAAAAAAAAAAAGTTACACATCAAAACATTGTTAAGCCAAAGTCTATAGACAATTTCTATATGTG